CCTCACTTGCCACATGTGTGGGGACACCTCAGCCGTGAGCTGGGCCCCCTATCTCCTTCCCTGAAATCAAAGATCTGAAATTTAGAAAGAAAGCAATGTGTAAATATCACTTACAAATCATCTTCCTCTCTAATCACAAATTCTGTTTCAGGAATAAATAAAGGTGTGTGTGTGTATTTCAGGTTACCATGTCACTGAATAGCATGGTTCATAGTGAATGGGAACTGGGAAAGTTAGGGACTGACTGAGGAAACAGTGAAAAGTATGCATGACCACACCAAACAGCAGGAACCCAGATGATGGAACCAATCTTAATCTTCCTTTAAGAGACAGAATATTGAGAGGATGTGGGAAACTAGCCCATGAAATGTCATAATCCTTTTGATCTCAAAGGAGCCTCTAATCTCAAACAACATTAAATCCCTCCTCCAAGAACAGCTGTCACCATAGAGATGCGACCTTGCTGGGGACAGTCTGCTAGTTCTCTGACAGAATGCCAGGTGGAAGTGAAAAACACAAGGTCTTCACTTTCCCTCTTAGTTGAAATATGCCAGGAAGGCAAGTTTCTCTTGAATCTTGGGCCACATCTATCAGGCTACCTTCCATGGCACGGTCTCCCTACAGCAATTTGGAGATACCATTTTCCTCTCTAGAGGTAACATTTTCTTTTATAAATTCCTAGACCAAGGATATACCTTTTAACTAGAGATGTCATAGGATGAATAGTATTTTCCCAAAATTCATATGTTGACACCCTAACCCACCCAGTACCTCTGAATGTGACTATATTTGGAGATAGGGCCTAGAAAGAGGTAATCAAAACTAAACGAGGTCCTGTGGGGTGGGGTCCAAATCCAATAGGACTGGTGTCCTTACGGGAAGAGGAAAAGACATGGGGCTGTGCACACACGGAGGAAAGGCCATATGAGGACACAGGGAGAAGGTGGCTATTCTCAAGCCAAGGAGAGAGGCCTCAGCAGAAATCATCTCTGCCAACATCTTGATCTTGGCCTTCCAGCCCCCAGAGCTGTGAGAAGATAAATTTCTGTTGTTTAAGCCACCCAGCTAGTGGTATTTTGTTATGGAAGCCCTAGCATACAAATATAAAAGTTAATGGTTATTCATCAGCTATTTCTTCTTCTGCGTTATTAAGAAGAAAATTCTGTTTCTTTATAACATACATATTCTTTTTTTGGTCAAATTTCTTTAATTCTATACAGTTACTAACACCTGCCTGATAGACTCAGGTGGAGTTCAAGTTCCCAGTGTGGACAAGAGGAATACTGGTCACCTCTCCAGTCTTGATACCTGTTCCTCAGCTCATCTGTTACTGTCAGTAGCCTTGGGTGCAGGGGCAGGAATTATTTTTATAATTTTATAAAAGAAGAGATAGATTCAACTGAATGATTTACCCGGGGTATAGGACTGAACTTATAACCAGGTCTTTCAATCCCATTCTCTCTGCTATTTCTCCCATGTTCCAGCACCTCCCCTCTTTTCCTTAGCATTATAATATTTCCAAGTGTGGGGTGTTTTTACATGTCAAAATTTGGGGGGGGGTTGTTGTTATTTTTAAATCTAGCATCTTATTTTTCTGTAATTCTGTTTGATTTTTTTTTTCTGTTTCTATTAATTTTAGACTTTGGTGTTGCCTTTTGTGGTAGATTTTTTAGAAGAAGTCATCCTACACTATTCTCCACTCTGCCATTTTATGACCAATCCCAAGTCAGGGTTTTTATTTAGTTAGTTTCCTAGGGAAGCCCAGGCTATACCTGGAAGACCTTTCATGAAATCACTTCTTTTAACCCCTTCCTTGTACCAGTGGATTCTGAATTTTATCAGAAACTGAATACACATGAGATGTAAAAGTAAAGGGCTTTTGACATCTTTACCCTTCAGATTAATTATGTGACTCTCTTTGGACTTCACAGTGTATAATGGGGAGTTTGCTTTATGGGAGGCATTAAATCCCTACGTTAGAAGTCTGCGAAGAGAAAATAGAAACACAGTGTTTCATGCAATTTCAAGAGTACTGTCATTAAATAATTGTTCATGTTTTTCAATTTAAAAAAAAAAAAGAAAGAAGGGGCTAGACAAAGGTAGCAGATTCTGTGTTGTCCCCAGGAGAGACTTGGAGAGCTGCTTTTTTTAAGGTGTTTGTTTTTTTTTTAGTTTAAATTTTTTTCTATTTTGGGGGAGGAGTAATTAGGTTTATTTGTTTATTTATTTTTAGAGGCAGTACTGGGGATTGAACCCAGAACCTCGTGTATGCTAGGCATTTGCTCTACCACTTGAGCTATTCCAGTGGAGACTTGGAATTGGGCGTTCACGGTCACCACCACCCATTGGTATGAGCCAACCAAGTAGTCAACACCTGTAAGGGTCCTCCACCCAGCAAGTCCAGGAGGAAAGAAAGGCAGAGCCACAGCTAATAGTAGGGCTGAAGCAGGGGAAGCCAAGCCTGTGGCACCAAACTACACCCCTGGGAAGGTGTCAGAGGCTCTTCAGAGACAGGAGCTACTCTGCCCTTGTTGGACCACCCCCGATGTGGACCCTCCACAGTACCATCAGGAGTGGTAAGATCCGGGGGCAGGGTACAGAGTCTGGAGGCAAATCTTCCCTCTCTGGTTCTGCCACTGATGTCCTGTGTGCCTTAAGCCAGTTCAACGGATTCTTCTGTGCAAAACATGGGGATAGCGATGCCTCCTTATATAGAGAAACAGACAGGCCAGTGACTTAATTCCAGAACAGTCTGATGCTCATGAACCTTGATCTAAGGTTGTACAATATATTCTTTATCTCTGGCATATTAAAAGGTACACTCAGTGATAACGGTAGTAACAGCAGACACTGTCTGTTAGGTACTAACAGTTCCACACACTGTCCTAGGTGCTGTTCTAGTCACATATTATTTTATTTACTCCCATGCAACCTCCAAGGCAAGTACTGTCACTATCCAATTTTACAGAGGAAGAAACAGCCTTAGGCCAAGAAACTTGCCCAGTGTCAGTCACTGAATAGGTGGCAGAGTTGGAATGCAAACAAGTCAGTCTGAACACAAAAAAAGTACGCTTTTAACAAAAGCATCTGTATTTCTATGAGGGCTGAATTTTCCAGAGCTACCCTATTGCACACCTTCTGACCAGCTGTCCCATAAAGTGTTGAACTGTCCCAGAAATGGACATCTGAACTACAACTTGGCATCTGAACTGCATTTCCCAGACTGTCCCTCACACTGAAAGTAACACAACAGTCCTTTGTAAGAACACAAGTCCTGGTTCTTGGTGTGAAAAATGGGGGCACCACAATTTAGGCAGATTGCCAAATTTTAGAGAATTAGCAAGAAAATGCACTCAAACTATTCAGAGCATCATGTTCTGATCTGTGAGCTGGAAGGCAGTGCTGATTTCTTGTGGTGTCTGAAGGTCATCCTTATGAATTTCCATCCTTATTTTATTATTGAAGTGCAGAAATGCAGGTTTCCAGCAAGTTTCAACCCATGCAAATCTGGATAGAAGGAACTCACTGTGCTGACATAAATTATTTAAGCAGTACTTCTTGAGGGACCACCATGGCTTGCACAAGATGCTTGATGAGCTGTTTTCTTATATTATGAATATTTATAATATTTTCCCATTGATATTTCAAAAGTGGGCTTTAATTAGAAACCTCATTATGCCATGCCTTCTGGGTTTGTTGTCATTGTTTAGTTTTATTTGTTGAGCATCAGAAGATGGGGGTGTTAGGGCCACAACAGAGAGATGACTCTAGAAATTCATCATCACCTAAGTCATTTCAATTTCCCAATGTGGTCCATGGTCTCAAAGATTCAAGAGCCACTGATTCAAGATCATTTTTATTCTAGCACCCAAATATCCTCTTACAGTGATAACTGTATCACTCTAAAGAGTTGTTAATATTAGACACATTCAAATTATATAATTTGCCCAAAACTGGGAGCAGGATGGGGAAGGGGGGAAGGGCAGCAGAAACTTGAAAATGTCTTCATAGGCATCATTCTAAGCACATTTTCCCTTTGGTTCTAACATCACCATATTTTGTTTACAGGACCTCATGTGGCCAGAAGGAATAGCTATTAGAAATGAACTCTTCCAGACTCAGGTCTTTTCTAGTTCTCAGGGTCTCTAGGAGTCAGTGGGGAAAAAAAAGACTCCATTGTAGCACTTCTTATTCATGCCCCATGAGCTGTCATTGGTTGTCTTATTGATTTTTATATCCACGCTGCAAACCTCAAAATGGCACAGCCTGAGACAGGATGCCCCCAAATCTACTCCTTTACTAACTCTTTTATTTTGCCAGTCATCTTTCTCCCTGATCCTTGATAACAGCTCCCAGCACCCACCTTCTCCAAATTAACAATTGCCTATGCCAGGTGGATTTCTCCTTTCCTATCTCTTTTTCCCCCCTTATTTTTATTATTTTTTTTGAAATATAGTCAATTTACAATGTTGTGTTAGTCTCCGGTGTACAGCATGGTGATTCACACACGTATATATTCTTTTTCAGTAGAGGTTACTACAAGATATTGAATACAGTTCCCAGTAGGCGGGGGTAGGGATGAACTGGGAGTTTGGGATTTGCAGGTACTAACTACTACATGTAAAACAGATAAACGACAAGGTCCTTTCCTGTCTCTTTAAGTCAGAAACTTCCTGAGATTCCTAAGTGCTGGCTGCCTCAGCAAGCATCCAAGACTCCCGGCAAGTCTCCATTGCAGGGAGATTTGCAAGTGAATCTCCCCGATCTGAAAAACAGCACGGCTTCCTAACGAATCTCTGACTTCCAGGCATCTACAACAGCACCAGGGGGTTCCAAGACATCCAGCGAACCAAGTCCGAGGACTGAAAGACCAAACCAACTCATATTGGCAGCTCTGAAAAGAGAAAATTCCCTAAACTGAACAAAACGTAAAGCCACTACAAGATCCAACTAACAAACACACAAAAAGCAATGAAATTATTTAAGACTCAAATGCCTACCTCACAGATTTCCCAAAGCGCTTTGCTCACACGTGTATTGTCCTCTGCCTCTGCTCGCTGGCTCTCCAAAAGAAGCTGTGCGTTCCTACACTGAGCAACAGTCTCCTCAAGTGTCAGGCTCTGAAATACACATGCTACACACGCCCAGACAGCCTCTCGGTGCCAGGCAGCCCCTTCTCCTTCTTCCCAGCCCCGGGCCAGCCGGTGCCAATTCCCTGACTACGACCAATTCCTCCCCGGGATGGAGCCGGGGAGGGGAAAAGATCAGACAGGGGTTGCAGACGGATCCAACTCACCACGGACTGAGTGGCCACCCATTCACGCAGGAAGGGTCCATCTTATCCCTTTTCTAACCTTAAAACCCTTCCACAGAGAGTTTCTCCAGCCTGGTTCAGATCCCAGAACAAGTAGGCAGACTCCTCCTGGCGTTCCCTGCTCGCACCCAGTCCACTCCCGGGGCGGCAGCCCCCAGCCGCTGGGACGCGATAGCTTCTTACCTTCACAAAGCCCTGGCTCTTAAAAGCCTGGCTGGAGTCTCCAAGGAGTCCTGTGCTTTCCTTGACATTGGAGGTAACCAGTTTCAGAAGCAGGGAACATTTCGAAATGAAACAGAAAGTAACCCGGTGATCCAGACCAGACCCCCGACCTGCACTGGGCTCTCCGCAGCCTCTGTGAGTCCTTGGGACTCAGCCAGCCAGCCCAGCTGTTTCAGCCTGGAGAGAATTCAGAGGAAACTGCAGCTTGGAAGTCTGGAACTCACGGCCTGGGCTTTGCTTTTTTTTGTTGTTTTTTTTCTTTCTGAGTATTTGTTGAGCTTTTTAACATGCAGTTTGTTTCCTTCTGCAGGGAATTACTCAGTGAGCCTGTCACCTGACTCCCAGCAGCTCCATTATATAATTCAAACTGTGCTGTTTGCGTTCTGATCAGAAAATCAGAAACTCCCTGACCCCTCATCTGTCTCCCCTTCTCCCTCCCCCCCTCCCCCCGGAGTGGAGGGAGAGACACTCCAAACACCAGACAACGACAATGAACCTTTCTTGAAACTTCAGGGGAGTGGCTGCATTTTTGCAGTGTATTTCTATCTCTCTTTGGCTTGATTCTTCTTGGGCAGAGGACCTCTTAAATACAAATGCTGAGTTAGCAGGGATTTCTCAAGATGTAACATCTCAAGGTGTAACTGTAGCAGCTTCTTTGATTTTCATTTAGGGCGACTGTCTGTAGATTAAATAAATCAGTGAATGGATTTGCAAATGACAGAGCGCATCATCAGTTGAAAAGCCTCGTGAAGATTTATCACACCTGTGCAAATCAAATCCAAAAGCTAGAATGTTTATTACTCTAGTCACAATATCTAAGTTCTGTGAAATGCCAAAGGGGTAGGTTGGATCGAGGAGTCTTTAGCCAATCCCCTCCCCTGCCCTTGACAATCATAAACCCTCCTCCAGCCACCTCAAATAAGCACAGTATCCAACTGAAAACTGCATGCTTGCTATGCAAACACCTCAATGTCTAAAACGCAGCCTCCACTACCAACCATGTGGAAATCCTTATGGCCCATCTATACGGATATTTTGAAGCCAGCACTGGCTTGAGGTGAAGGAACTAAGAATCACTTTAGTCTGTTCCAATTTTCCTTTCTCAGCATCTCTCATCTCTGTCTGGATGATGTATATTGAGGGACAAGTATGTTAAAATAGAATTGACCCAGGAATGAGAAGATCTTCGAGAAACTTAACTGGCATAAATGAGCACAACACTTAATGCATCATGAAATGACTGACATAAAAAACTCCAACCTGTTTGCTTTTTCCATGTGAAAGCTGGGATGAACTCTCTGCAGCAGGGGCTCTGGACTCCCAGGCTTGTCCCAGACAGTGGAGACTTGTTGCTGAATATGGGAAATACCCCAAAAGGGCAGTTACAGGCTAGGGGAACAAGGCTGACGTTGGTCACCTGCTTTTGGTTTTTCCTGGTCTGATCTCTTTTCTCCCTGCTGCATTCCCTCACCCGTAGTCACCGAAGGAAACCTCTTGTCCTTTCTGCCTGCCTCCAGCATTGCACTAACAATAGTAGATACCATTACTATATTAAACTGGGTGACATTAGACTGACACTGCACCCTAAGAATAACTTGCAAAATACTCCGTAGCTATCTATCCACGTGTCCCTCTAAAGTGGGCACGGGATAGTTATTCCTCTCCTCATACAGACCCAAGGCAGCCAGTGACAGAGGTGGCAATTAGAAATCAAGTTTCCTACACTCAGAGCTCTGTTTTGCAAAGGAAGACCCAGATATACATGAAAAGAAATATAAATATGTAAATCTGAATGACTGATTGATGTCTGTTTATATCTCTCCCTCCAGGTGTGGTAAATACAAGGCGTTGCAGCAGTTGCTATGGTAACTACTTTTTTCTTAAAGAGCATAAGGATACCTAGTGAAATATTAGAAAACATCAGGTGGTGAGACCCTCCCCAGCAACGGGAAGAAAACCAATAATACAAAATACACCCTTGGTCTAGTTGTTCAATATTGATGCTGCAAAAATCGAATTTCCCAGACCAGTGCTGTCCAACAAAAGTACAACGTGAGCCACATATATAATTTAAAACTTCCTCGTTGTTGCATTAAAAAAGAAAAAAACTAGTGAAATTAATTTTGGTAATATATTTTATTGGATCCAATATATTCAAAATATTATTTTGACATGTAGTATATAAAATTATTAAGAGTATTTTATATTCTTTTCTTCATACTAAATCTTTGAAATCTGATATGAATTATATATATTTTACACTCACATCACATCTTAAATAAGAGTAGCTCTATTTCAAGTGTTCAGAAACTACCTGTGACTAGTAGTCACCATATTAGACAGTCCAGCCTCAGAGTATTATTAGTTATTTTTGGCTTGACATCTGTTCTTTGAGTACACGTTTGTCTGTCCCTCCTTGGAACTTTTAGAAAAATGAATTGCATTCATTTGGTTCTGACTTTATGGCATAATTTAAGTGGTGTTCTCTTGAGTGGAGCAAGAAAATATCAAATAAGCTCGGAATTGAAATGGTATTAAAAATTCAGCCTCTTTCATGCTACCAGAGGATCATGAAGATTAAAAAAAAAAAACCTCAGGTTTATAAAAAGTTCCTTCCTTGGGTTGCCTAAACGACCAAGTTAGAGACCTCAGAGTCATGCTTGACTGTACTTTCTACCTGCCCACTCTCTCTGCCCTCTCCTCACAGCCTCTCCCAATAGACCACTTAGTCTTTACAAGTCTACCTGTTGCCTCTGCTGAAGTCTGGGGTCCTCCGCTATAACCCAGATGATCTCAAGAACCCCTACGTGGTCTCCCTGCCTCCATCCTCTACCCACTCAATTTCATTTTCTTTCCTGCCTTAAGCATGGAGCATGTGTTGAAAGCAAACATTTAATCACGCAGCTTCTTCTCAGCTTAAAGCCTTTAATAGCAGGGTGCTACCTTTCAAATAAAATCCATACTCCTTGGTACCATACACTAGGCAATCAGCAACTGGCCTTCAGGGAACATTCTGGCCCATCTCCTGGCTACACTGTCTTTGATTTTACCCTTGTCTACATTTTCGACTGTGCCATGATTTCCATGACTCCATGCTGTTTACAGTCTGTTCCCTCTGCCTGTAACGTCCTTCCTTAAAATGCCTTCCCCTCACCAAACAGCAAAATCCTTCCAGCCTAGCTCCAATATCTACTGTAGCATTTCTTGATCTTGCAGTCAAAGTAACAGTTCCCTCATCTGTGTTATCATGCCACTCTTACGAATCAATGTTACAACATTTATCACATTCCATGATAGTTGCACGATACGTTAGCCAAGGATTTCTTCAAGAAGGGGAACCACATGCCGTTTACCTTTGAATTCACCTTGGGGATAATAGCATCTCAATAAGCGCCTAAGGAATTCCAATACGCTTTTCTTTCCATTCCTCTTTCTCCTTGTTGTCGAACTGCCTGGTACATCATCACCATCATCGCCATCATTACGTAGCAGCCAATGTTTATTAGCACTTCTATGAACCAGACACTACGTCAAGCATTTTACATACATTTCATTTAATTCCAACAACAAATCCACAAGGTGGGGACTTAGCCTCAATTTTTAATAGTTGTGGTACCCTGAATGCCACTTCATTCTTTCAACGGACGTCTTGATGTCATTATGACAAGCAGGTATGCAGGTAGGCTTCTGAAGAATGCAAGATCACACAGTTGTTTGTTAACTTATTTGTTAACAGGCTAGTGTGTGTGTCTTTTGTTTTACGCTCTGAGTGTCTCCATCTCTTTAATGCTTCCAATTCTTAGTGGGCTGGGAAAACAGAAAACCAGACTTAATAGTATTTTGTGCAGAGTAAGAATTGGTGGCTTTGAGTAAGGGCACGAGAAACTCTGCTCCACGGAACATCACAGGATGTAACATTGAGTGTTGTTGCTCAGAGGCATTTTTGACTTTACATCTGGCTCTCTAGCTGTTTCTACACAATCCGGCTCAGTAGTGCTTTAAACAGTGCAGGGAACAAGCCCAAATGCTGGTGAGAAACTCTCTTTCATTGCTCGGGGGAATGCAAAATGGCACCACCACTTTGGAAGAGTCTGGTGGTTTCTTACAAAACTAAACATACTCTTGCCTAACAATCCAGCAACTGCACTCCTTGGCACTTACCTAAGTGGACTGAAGATGTACATCCACATAAAAACCTGCACCTGGATGTTTAGAGTAACTTTATTCACAACTGCCAAAATCTGAAAGCAAACAAGATGTCCTTCAGGAGGTGAATGAATAAATAAACTGGTGCATCCAGGCAGTGGAATATTATTCCGTGCTGAAAAGAATGAGTTATGAAGCCATGAAAAGACATGGAGGAACCTTGCATGTCTACTACTAAGTGAAAGAAGTCAATCTGAAAAGGTTCCATACTGCACAATTCCAACTCTATGACATTCTGAGAAAGGCAAAACTATGATGGCAGTAAAAAGATCAGGAGGTACCAGGGGTTGGGGGACAAGAGGGATGAATATGTGGAGCACAGAGAGATTTTTAGGGCAGTGAGACTACTCTGTATGAGACTATAATGGTGGATGCTTGTCATTATACATTTGTCCCAACCCATAGAATGTACAGCACCAACAGTGACACCTTATGTAAACTAGGGACTTTGGGTGGTGAAGATGTGTCAGTGCAGTTGCGGTAACTGTGGATGTAGATTCATCAGCTGTAACACATGTAGCGCTCTGGTGCCTGATGCTGACCAGGCGGAGGTCAGTGCAGGCCTAGGGGTGGAGGATATATGGGAACTCTCTGTACTTTCTGCTCAATTTTGCTCTGAGCCTAAAATTGCTCTAAAAACTAGCCTATTTTTTAAAAAAGGAAGGACCAGAGAATGGCTTGCCCGTGGGTGCCCAGGGATTGGCCTCTGACATGATGTACAAGTTGTTTTCCTGCTAGGTTGTCAGTCGCTTCAGTTTATTAATTGCTTTCTCTACTTTGTTTCCACACCAGCACTAAATAAATGGCAGTGCCTGTACACAAGGACTAATAAATTCTTGTTTAAATGAAATGAAGGAAAAACACACTTAATGCTTCAGATAATAAGTACATATTTCCACCCACAGAAACAGCATAATAGCCTTAGTGTCAACAACAACAGCAAAAACTCTTACTGAGGCAGTTTCTGGAGACTCTGGAGCCTGGGACAGACTCAGACTTGGAGGAAGGGTCATGTTAAAAGGCCTGGCTCTAGGCTAAAAGGGTGACTGAGCTGGGAACATTTAACTCGTCCTTTGACTGAATCCTGGCAGTGCTCTCTGTGCCCTTGGGGACCAGCGCTTGATCACTACCTAATA